TCTCATCTCAAACAATTCTAAAACACTTAATAAAAACGATGAACATTGTGCGCCACGAACCTTAAGTATATGTGAAATGATGGGCGAGGGGTTTCTCCTCACTTGTCTAGAGTGTTTAGTGTATGCCCCTTGGGCGATATGCGACACATTCGCTCATATATCATAGTCTTTAGTGCAACGTGAATCTCAAACAAATTCAATTCACTTCTCTAAAACTCTTAAACCAAATTCAAACCTTTTTATCCTTCGGGATTGTTTCAAAATCATTTTCAAAAAAGAGTACGTTAGTTTTTCGTTCTACCGCAAACAGGCATCGACCCTAACTACTGGAATGAGAGCTTAGCGTCACTCATAAAACATTTAACCAACCAGTGGTTTAGTTACCCGAACTATGTTTTCTCTAATTTCTTATACCAGATAAGGATACTAGGCACACGAAGACGATGTCTTGGCGAGTAACCTTCCCCCCATAATCCGTAGTTTTCTGAACTACGTTGACTTTGACTTTTCCATTGCACGAGGGAATACGTAGGTATAGGGCGGCGATGTCCTATTGAGTCTCCTTTTTATTTTCCCTTTCTTGTTTAGTAGTAGCTTTTAGATAACACACTCTTTGATTAGACAACAAACGTGGATCCCATTGAGTACAATAGACGTGAGGGGTGCTCATACCTTCCCCTTGTGTAACCGACTCCCGAACCCGAGATTTGGTTGTGATGACCTTGTCTTCTCCTTTCTCTTATGTTTTTTTCGATCGTTTCCTTTCCCTCTCATTGGAATAAATAACGTCCGATGGTGACTCTTCTGTTTGTTTCGCAATTGCGACAGCTAGCGACTCTGCTGGGGACATGATAGTTTCCTATACGAGTCAATCCTAGCGCTTTTCTGTTTTATATCTTTGGGTGTTTATATTTGTGTATATGTATGTTACATTTGTTGTATATTTACTATTGCATATTATTGCATCTGCATTTTACTTTCTGCACTTTATCATTGTTATCATATTATGTTGTTGTGTTGTTGGTTGGGTTGTTCCATGATAGATAAGCCCAATACCAAGGCTTTAGTACACACCTAGGATTAGTGTGGAGAGTATTTTGGAATTGTGTGGCATTTAGTAATGCAAGAGTTCGCACGAAATCTACGTCCAGGCGAGGTTTTCTTTGGAGATACCCTATCCTGCGCATTTAGGGCAGTTGAGAGGGTGTCGAATTAGAAAGCTAATGACTCTGGAGACTGTTCATTGGGAAGTTAGTTGAGACCTCCTTGATTAACCATGATGCCAAACCAGAAATGGTGAACGTATCATCGTTTCTTGACCTGAGTGTTCGTGATACTGATGCCCTGCATAGGATGTCGTACCTTTCAAGACTAGAACCTACCTGTGAGAAAATAGTTGATATAAAATATAAATTGATTTGTTTAGAGGCCTTACATTTGCAGGTGTTAGGTGATCCAACAGATTGCGGTATTGAATGATACAATGTCTAGGGCATCTATTGTAATTCATACCCTTAGCCGACCATCTAAACCACAAATTAACATATACAATAAAAATTAACAAAGACAATAAAAATTAATAGAGACATTAAAAATTAACACTTACATAATTCACGATATTTTCGATAGTACTTCTATGTGTTTCACCCATTGTCAACAAAGCCATTATAACTAATTAAATGTGAATCAGATAACTGATATACTGACACTTTAGACTTGATATTACCTCTCTGCAACAGGTATCAATCAGATGATGCATTTACCCATACCTCTAGCTTTCTTATATAGGGAATTAGGAGTCACATGTGAGAATAATCAGCTATACCATGTCGCCAGACCAATTGGCGACTGCATTCACCCATTACAAAGGGTCGCCAGTCCAATTGGCGACGCTTGGTAGACTGAAACATAGTTGTGCATGTAGCTGAGGTTGCTTCATGCATGCATAACATGCTAACACCCACATGGCGACACAATGTCTAAAAGATTGTACCTTGTCTACAATTCATATGGTGACTCCATTTAATGCATTTGACCATGTCGCCAGTTAATATGGTGAATCTAGTATGTGTCCCATGCATATTAATATGTTCCCATGCATGTAGAATACTCAGATGAAACCGAACCGGAGGTCAACTTTGTTGATAAAGAAGAAGAAGGAAGCGAGACACTGGTTAATCAACTATTGAACAACAACGTTGAAGATAACGAACAAGTGCCAATACCTCCAGGTCATGTATACTGTCTGCCTCAACATATGACAAACTTGGACTTGCAAGACGACGAGAGATCCGTAGATATGTTTCATAACCCGTATATGCGGTCAGAGAATGAATTAAAAGTGGGAGACCAGTTTTGTACCAATGAGGATTGTGTACGAGCCATTAAAAAATATCACATGGAGAACTCTGTTGATTTCAATGTACACCGAACTGATTCGAGAAGGTATGTCATTATTTGTCATAATCCACTTTGCAAGTTTTGGCTTGCGACGTGTTACAGAAAGAGAAGCGATTCTTGGAAGATAGCTTCCATAGAGCCACCTCACAGTTGCACTGCCACAAATATTGTTCAGGATCATAGAAAGTTAAGTGCATAATTGATATGTCAAGACATTTTGCCGCTTGTTAACAAGGATCCTTCAGTCAAGGTGAGTATAATAATCTCTCATATTGTGACGCGGTATAATTACATTCCCTCATACAAGAAGACATAGATTTCAAGGACAAAGGTTGTTGAACATGTATTTGGAATCTGGGAGGATCCATACAAGGAATTACCGTGATTTTTGGTAGCGTTAAAGACATACACACTGGGAACTGTTGCAATCATGCAGAGAGTATCGGCATGTAGGCCAGATGGAACTATTGTTGATGGAAATATCATCTTTCACCGTCACTTTTGGTCGTTCCAACCATGCATAAGAGGTTTTGCATTTTGCAAACCTGTTATTCAAATTGATGCAACATGGCTCTACGAAAAATACAAGGGCACCTTGCTTATGGTTGTTGCACAAGAAGGCAACAATAATGTCTTTCCCATATCCTTTGCTCTAGTTGATGGGGAGACCGCTTCTGCTTGGAGTTTTTTTCTTAAGAATCTCAAAACACATGTCGCTCCACAAGCCAATTTATGTTTGTTTTCAGACAGGCATGCTGCTATAGAGAGTGCTTACAATAACTATGATAACGGTTGGCATAATCGTCCTTCTACCCATGTATATTGCATTAGACATATTGCACAAAACTTCATGCGTGCAATCAAAGACAAGAACCTTCGCAAAAAAATTGTGAATGTCGGGTATGCTCTAACTCAACCAACATTTCAATACTACCTTAACGAAATTAGGATGTCAAGTGCAGATGCAGGAAGCTGGTTGGATAACATTACACTAAAAAAGTGGACAAGGGCTTTTGATGGTGGATGTCATTGGGGCCACATGACAACAAACCTTGTGAGTCCATGAATGGGGTATTCAAAGGAATTAGAAACCTACCAATCACCGCTTTGGTGAGATCAACCTATTATAGGTTGGCATCACTTTTCGCAACAAGAGGCAAAAGATAGAGTGCAGTGTTAACATCGGGTCAAGTATTCAGTGAAAGCATAACGAAATTGATGAAAGAGGATACTATCAGAGCCATCAGACATGCAATTACAGTATTTGACCGTCATAGGAAAACATTCAGTGTACAAGAAACAATGGTCCATAATGAGGGGAGGCTCAATTTATCCTATGTTGTCAAACTAAACAGACGTTGGTGTGATTGTGGCAAGTACCAAACCTTCCATAAATATATTTTATGTAATCAGTTAGGAATATTTTATGTTTCTTTTCCTTCGCATAAAACGGTTAACGGAAAAGAAACATAAAATATTCCTAACTGATTACAACAGTCAAACTAATTTCATTCGGTCTAAACATGACTTCCTTCGCATCCTTGTCAGTCTTAACACAAACCCATCCACGCAGTCGATCAAGTCTCTTGATACTTCGAACTGTTTCCCCTTCATCAATGTCTCATTCTAACCACCGATTCAGCTCCCTCTTAAGTTGATTGAAACTTTGTATGTTCCAAAACGACATGTTCATTAGAGGCTTCTCTCAAAAAGACGACTTTTCCCCACCGACGACGATACACGTTATTAGTGGAACAAAGATATCAGATGAGCTGTGGGAATAAATGATCAGAACATCTCTATTTATAGGGGAAAAATTCAGTTTCTAAGGAATCTTTAGATAAATTGACGACTCCCTTCGGTGTATACAACCAAGTCGCCAATTGAATTGAAAACTGCATGAGGTGTCTACAATTCAATTGGTGACTCACTTAAAGTCATTACAAAGGATCGCCAATTGGTATGGCTCCCACATACATTTAACAATCCTAACTGGAGTATTTAAAAAAAATAAATTACAAACTGGGATATTTTGAGAATTTTTTTGAAAACATGGGTTATTTGTGTAAAAAATTTGAAGATATAGATTAAAAAAAATTGGTAATTAAAAACTCACATGCTTCATCAGGAAGCTTAGGCCATTCAACAACAATAAGGAACCGTCTAGCAGCTGAATCAAGATCATTCTTCTTCTCAATCCGATTCTTCATTTCTCACTACAAAAACCCCATTTTCCCTTTTCGAATCTCAGTTCAAACACTTTAACTGTTTCACACAATTGAGATTCTTCACTCTTCTGAAGACAAAGACGCAACCTTTCTGGTATTGTTTTCGCGCAATCCATTTTCTTTTTGGAGATAAGTTTCTGTTATTATGGTTATCGAAGATTTTACAAAATTTTTTGATGGGTCTCTCGATTTAAGTGTTTTCTAGAAAGGGAAAAAAAGTGAATAAAAACCCTTGAATTTGAGAGTATTGGGATGTATAGAATTTTGGGTTTTGTTTGATTGAAAATTTACTCACCCTTTTTGCTAAAGTGTTAATTTTTGGAATTGTTACTCAAGTGCAGAAATTAGAAGTGATTTTGGGGAATTGGGGAAATGGGGAAGCCTTTGATTTATGAGATCTTGGAAAAACCAGCAACAAGTTGTATTATAGGAATATGTAGTGCAATTTGGTTTTATATACAGAAGAAAAACATTGGTTATTCACATGTTGGTTTGAGTTATGAGACTGCAATTGAAGGACAATACTGGAGAATAATCACTTCTGCATTTTCTCATATAAGTATAATTCATCTTGTTTTCAATATGAGTGCGCTATGGAGTCTTGGTATGGTAGAGCAATTGGATCATGTTGGTCTTGGTGTTGAGTATTATTTGCAGTATACACTTGTGTTGGTTGTTGTATCAGGAATGTTGGTTTTGGCAATGTATCATTTGCTGATTCAAAGATTCAAGGTTGAGTATTTTCGTCGAGTGACGGCTGTTGGTTATTCCTGTGTTGTTTTTGGTTGGATGACGATACTTTCCGTGAAGCAACCTTCTTCGAAGCTGGAGCTCTTTGGATTACTTTCGCTTCCTATTAGTTTTGCTCCGTTTGAATCACTTATTTTCACTTCGATTATTGTTCCTCAGGCAAGTTTTATTGGTCATTTATCTGGGATTGTTGTTGGATATGCTATAGCTTGGGGTTTGATTCACGGAATGACAAATTACTGGGCTCTTTCGTTATTGGGTTGGATTGTTGTTGTCTTTGTTTTTAGTTTGAAGAAATCTGGTGCATATGAACTCAACTTCATTGAGATTGAATCTGTTACTGATCCTTCGTTACCGTCTGTACGGTTTCTGGCATCCAGCAATGGCAGAACCCTGCAGATGAATGCATTGCCTGATGGAAATGTTGAAATTGTTTGATGTTGAACCGATATATCATTGTAAGGTAACCTCGACAATATCAAATTTGATAGCAATATATGCATTGCCCGATGAAAATGTTGAAATTGTTTGATGTTGAACTGATATATCATTGTAATGTAACCTCGACAATATCAAATTTGATAGCAATATGACTCCAATTTTTCCAATATAGAATTTATTCAAAGCTTCGATAATATTTGTTTCAAGAGTTTGCATCTTTTTCTTATATGATTATGAATATTTGTATGCCAATTTAATGTCCTGCTACATTTTGCTCCGTTTTTAATGTGTGCTAGATTCAGATTTTGTTTTGTTCTGCTAATGGATGATAACATTATGTTATGATAATGTTGAATTCATTTTATCATTTCTTTGTAAGCAAGCACTTATAAAATAGAACTTTATAAAAAGTTGATTAATATGCTAAGGTATTTCTGTTTTCTTACTAAGCTTTTTGTTGATGTTGTTTTTGCTGTCACTGAATGGTGCTTATTCATTGTGTAAATGTTCAAATTGAAACTCTAAACATAGTTGGGTCGATAAGTTGTTCTTCTAATGATTGTAGCCATGAATTCGAGTCTTCATTATGTAGGCTTAATTTAGGGTTCAGATCCATGTCTAAAATCATATTGACAAAAAAATGGTGTTTGAGGGACCAATTGGATATTGATATCTACATTAAAGATCAACTTTGTGTCTTGTGAATGTTGAACTGTATGGCACTGCATCAAAAAATGTTGAACAATGTTTCAGTAAACAAAAATCTCGCATTTTTTTGGAATCCAAACTTAAGGTAGTTTTAAACAATGACAAAGGTGTGAATTGTAAACGTTACTGTGTTCTAGCACACCAAAATATCTCACGTCACATCTTACATTGTTTTAGAATCAACAGTTAAGGTAGTTTATAAACAACTACAAAAAATGTGAATGTTCCAGAGTTATGTAGCAGGGTGGCATATTTTAAAAATCGGATAGCAGAATAACCGCTATTTAATTATTTAAGAGAGTTAATAAATAAGTATAAAAAAACAGAGAACAACATAAATAAATAAAAAATAAAAAAGAGAAAAGAAAGAAAACAGAAAACATAAATAAAAGAGTTAATAAATTAACTATTACTTTAGAAAAAAAAAACAGAAAACAATATAATTTAAAGAGTTTAATTGCAATTTTGGTCCCTTTATTTTTATTTTTTTAGTTTTGATTTACCTATTTTAAAATTTGGAATTTTTGTCTTTGTTTTCAGTTTTTTTTAGTTTTGGTTCTCCTATTTTAAAATTTGAAACTTTTGTCCCTTTATTTTCATTTTTGTGAGTTTTGGTTCCTTTATTTTTATTTTTTTAAACTTTTGGTCCGCTATTAAATTTGTTCCCAATTGAAAAAAGGGATTAAAATTCAAAACAAAACATAAAATAGGGGATCAAAACTAAAAAAAATGAAAATAGAGGGACCAAAATTTTGGATTTTAAAATAGGGGGACCAAAACTCAAAAAATTTGAAAATAGAAGGACGGAAATTTCGGATTTTAAAATAAGGGGATTAAAACTAAAAGAAAATAAAAATAGATGGACCAAAATTGCAATTAAGCCAAATAAAAAAGAGAAAAAAAATCATAGGATAGTATGAAAAAAAAACGAAGAAATTTCTTTTTAAAAATAGAGTAACAAAGAAAAGAAATTAAGAAAAGAGAAAAGAAAGAAAAAGAAAAAAGATTTAAAAATAAAAATAACAAAGAAAAAAATTTAATAAAGAAGAGAAAAGAAGATGTTGTGAATTAATATCGTCAAGAATAAATCAAAAAATGAAAAAAAAATTGAGTTTTTTGAACAAACACAAACATCTCTATTAGGTTTTACAAAAGAGAGAGAAGAAGGAAGAAGAATAGAAATTGGTTAAATCTGTTTTTCTATTCACTTTTTCAAGTGAATACCAACAATTAACCTCTCTCAACAATATGAGAGAACTAGTCTATTTATAGACTACTAAGCTAACTTAGGATACAAACTAATTAACAATTTGACTTAGAAGCAAGACCTAATTCGACATACTAACTTAAATTACAAGTTAATATATATTGACATTACGCTCGAACAGACTTCGACTACAACATACACAACTCTTGTCGAACCATGAAGCTACCATTGTTAACACTAGAGTTCGACCCAAATACCACAAATTTCCACCTTAGAACAAATTTTATACAAACAAGGAAACAAACTAGTTTTCATCATCCATGGTTTTCAGCCATTCAGTCTTATTTTGACTTCTCATAACTTCTTTATAGTCTCTAGGTTCTTGGTCAAGAACCTCACTTCCAGAGATTAAGGCATAAGTGTTAAGTGCAAATTTTGACTTAAGTTGAACCATCTTTCTTAACATTTTTCAACTCAATTCTCATTTTTAATAGATTTATTTCTTGTTCTTGTGTGATTATTCAATTATATTGCAAATACCTTTGGATTCTTTGATGTGTGTGTTATTGTGCAGAATATAGGCATAAAACATCAATGATTAAGACACAAATGATTGAACAAGGAAGCCAAAGAATTGATGAATAATCAGCATGTTCGCTGGACGAACAATTGTGAGCAGCCAACGTATATTCGTTGGGCGAAGTTGCAGCGAAGCCCCAACGAACCAGCATAGATTAGAGAGAGTAAAAAAAGGATCCAAAGTTCGTTGGGCGAAGTTGAAGCGATACAGTTCGCTATGCGAAGAAGTGTTCGCACGGCGAACTCAGATATTTTCCAAGGGAGGTTTAACTGTTCCTGAGGCACTTGAAGTGTCCAAAAGTAGACTTCGTTGGGCGAATAGGTTGTTCGCTAGGTGAACATGACAGATTTTGTAAATTCTATTTAAGTAATTTTCTTGCTTTTTAAGAAAAAACTTGTACTTTTTTTGGATCAGAACTTTATCTCTCTTCATTCCAAACATAATTTTAGAGAGAGAAACAAAACCTTAAAGAGGTGAAGCCAAAATCAAAGAAACTCGAAGCTTGATCTTCGAGTAAGTGCTTCGATTTCTTGTTGGATTTGGATGTAATCTTTTGATACCTTATGTATTTCATCTAATTTATGTATTATCAATTAGTTTTGATTCAATATTGATGTTATCTTTGATTTCTTATTTGTAGGTCTTGACAAAACCTTTTCAAATCTTTGATCGAAGATACTCATCTATTAATGAGAAAACTTTTGACATAGTCTTGTAAGTTGATATTCACTAGTATCACTTTTATTTTATTGTGTTGATTAGTATCATGAGTAGCATGAGTAGGATTTATACGATAAAGACCACAATAACATTTTTGACGCGAACGGTATTGTGAGGATGCGTGATAATAGTGATGAAGAACTATGTCCACATACATTTGGAAAATTAGTTGATTGCATGTAAAAAGGGTTAAGCATATGTATGTATTTTGATCATGGCCTTTTTTGTGAATCAATCACGACTCTGATATGGGTGTCATCTTTGGATACCTGATAGGTTCTAGACTCTAAACATAGATTTAGCTTAGCATTTGCATGAGTATCAGTTCTTAATGTTTTGTGTTGTTGAGTTGCGTGAGATATCACCAATGAGGCAATACGGTTGTTCTCTCGACCTTGCATTAGACTTATCCTCGATTGTGGGTGATACGTGAGGGTATTAGATGAATGATTGATTTGTGTTTAACTAGTTAGAAGAATGCACATGTTATCAATTGATGAGATCCAATCCCAACAAGGCTCTGTTTATATTTCAGTTTTTACTTTATTTTTTATGTCTTTATATTTTCTGCCTTTATTTATGGTATCATTGATCTATCAACCAAATTTTCATAACAAGCTTAGAAATGTAGAAACCGTTGAACGTCATTATTTCCCTTGCACCGATCTCTGTGGAGACGATATAAAGTCCGGAGGGAATCCTTCCAAATCTAAATTTTTGCTTCTTGACGCTTTATTGCAGTTCGAACCAAATGACGCCATTGTCGAGGATTGGTGTTTAGATATTGAATGCATTGCAATAGTTTCTATATATTTTTAGCTTTGTACAGTTGTTTATGTTGTATATATACTTGTTTCCTTTTACGTTTTCTTAAGTGTTGTTTAGGGAGGAATGATGAGAACCTCTTCCAGATTGGTTGCTATTTGTATAAAAGTATCCATTGAAGATTCTCCCAAGTTTGGATGGTGGTGGTGGGATGTTGAGTGTGTGAATGCAAGCAAGGTAACTTGTACCGCTTTATAGAATGTTAGAATGATTTAAGAATCGTGTGCTTTGTGCAAATGTGTATTCTTGTTTCATGTTGCAACTTGTTTGAATGTTTATTTCACTTAGGACCAAAAGCCAAAAATTGTGAGAAACCTCCATTGTTTACTATATGCTAGGGTGACTGATAAACTTTATTTAATACGTTTGATTCATGCTTAATCTTTTGATTATTGTGATTTTGTGGAAGCATTAGAAATGATCAAGGCATTTGTTTATATTGAGCACAACCATATCCAAATAGTAACTTACCTGTGAGTAGTGAGAAATCGTTAACCTCTTTAGCCTAAACAGTTTAGATCTCATTTTGATGATGAACTTGGTTTATGTACATAATTTGAAAGTTTTTTTCATCATTGAATTTTGTGAGATTCTAAAAAAAATTCTTGAACCTTTGAACATTGTTTTAAATTGATTTCCTTGCCATAAAAAGGAAGGAGCATTCACTTGAGGTTTGGTTGAATTCAAGTTGGGGAGAATGAAAATAAAAATGGTAGGTTGCTAAAAATTTTGAAAATTTTCAACCAATCATTGAAAAAAGTGTGAATATGAATGTGAAAAATAAAAGAAAAAGAATGCTTGTTTGAAGGAGAAAAATAGTGAATGAAATAATTGTGCAAAAGGAAGTTTGAGAAGGTTTGTAATAGAGGAAAGAATATGGTGAATGAAGTTGGGATGTGTAAACAACTTATATAGTGAATGTCTCTTTTGCATTGGAAAATTTGATTCCATGGTCTT